CATGGGCCGACATTTAATAACGTCCACCTCCATCCCCCTGCTATAACTGAGTGTGGCTCTTGCAGCTGAAAGCAATCCCAACTTTTAAAACTAGCATTTCCAAAGTGCATTCTGTGGGTGGGATGTTAACAGCAGATATGAAGTGTGGTGAGGGGAAATTTCTGCAGACAAGTAACTTGTTTAATCCTCACAATCACCCCAGGAGGTCGAAAATATTGTCCCCATTCTATATACGAGTAAACTGAATCACAGTTTTGGACTCTGAAGCCAATGTTCAACCACTAGGCTACACTGCCCATCTAAATATTATTTTCTATTATACAAAATGCTAAAAGGCCAATTAGATCAGTTTGGAAAGCTCTCTAAATAAAGTTAGAGGCGAAAGGAAGTCAAAAGACAACATTTCATTTACAAAATTGACAAACCAGTCAGTCAGCTATCCCACTAATAAATACTGAGGGTTTAAGATGTATCAGACTTCAGACTAGGTGCAGGGATGTGCAGTATTATAAATAAAGCCAGGCCAGGCGTGGTGGCTCACGCCTGTAATCCCACGACTTTGGGGGGCCAAGGTGGGAAGATTGCTTGAGTTCAGAAGTTTGAGACCAGCCTGGGCAACAGGGTAAAAACCAGCCTCTACTAAAAATACAAAATTAGCTGGGCATGTGGGCATGCACCTATAATCCCAGCTACTGGGGAGGCTGAGGCACAAGAATCTCCTGAACCTGGAAGGCGGAGGTTGCAGGGCTGAGATTTCGCCATTGCACCCCAGCCTGGGTGACACAGGGAGACCCAGGAGCTTACAGCAATGTGTATGGGCTGAATGGTGCCCTCATCCCAATTCCTATGCTTAGGTCCTAACCCCTAGGATCTCAGAATGTAACAGGGCCTTTGAAAAGGTAATTAAGGTAAAATGAGAGTCTGAGAAGGAAGCAAAGAAAAGTTCCATTCAAGAAATGAAAGTACCATGGGGAGTAAGCGGATGTACTACAGGAAGTTACATGGGTACTAGATTGAGGGGGGCTGCCCCAACCTAAGGACCGTGTGCTTCACTCCATAAGAGCAGGGGGTCTCTGAATGTAAATGCTCAAGCTAGTAGGGATCATGGCGATCATCTGGTCTACCACCTTAATTTTGTGGATAAGAACACTGGGGCACAGAACAGCTAAATACGTGACTTGCCCAAGACCACATGGCTCATAGGCCACAGGGCAGCCTTGAATACTGCCTTCCTGCTATTTTTTTCTATAGCAGTGGAGAAGAGAAGGGAGGGGAGGAGGAAACAGAGGAAGACCGGAGTAGTGGTGGCCAGAATGAAAAGAAATAAGGAATCAAAGTAAGAGGTGGTGCAAAAGGAGAACAACAGGCCTCTGCCTTCAGGAGGCAGACGGTGCAAGGAATGGGGAGAAGTCCCAGGGGATTCTACACTCCAGCCAGGACAAGGGCGCTGCTGTCTCCAACCCAGCAGCGATGTCATTAAGCACAGGGGCAGCCTGTTCAATTTCTTTCTTTCTTTTTTTTTTTTTTTTTTTAGAGATGGGGTTTCACCATGTTGGTCAGGCTGGTCTTGAACTCCCAACGTCAGGTGATCCACCTGCCTCAGCCTTCCAATGTGCTGGGATTACAAGCATGAGCCACTGTGCCCGGCCCAGCCTGTTCAATTTCTAATCAGAAGAAATGAAATGGGACATGACCAAGGAGAGATGTCTGCTCAGAGCAGAGATTTGCCTGCTTGATTACACCTGCTTTTGAAAACAGGCAGCTATTGATCCCAGAATCACAGTTCCAATCCATGTCCCCCTGGAACTAACAGGCCAATGCCCAGCCAACCTGTCCATCCACAGAATCCTGTCAAGGCACCCCTTGGTAGCGCACAGGTGCCACTTGAAAATTCTGGTTGGAAGAGTCTCACCAAGCAGCCAGGTGTATGTGTGTGTGCATACATATGTGTGTGTGTGTGTGTGTGTGTATTTTTTTAGACTTAAAATTTTTTGATGAATGCTCAGTGGTCATTAAAGTAGTCCAGCCACACACAAACATATCAGTGTCTGTTGCTAAGTAGGTAAGGAAAACCATGCATGTCAGAGGCATTTTCCTTTTAGTCACTATTTAAAGGTAGTTCTCCTCCTTTGGCAGTCTGTTTGTGAGCTTCCTTCTCTGCCTGGCTGGTTTTAAAAGCCATTTCAGAAAAATAAAGTGCAAATTATAGAGAGAAGGCAAATGCTCCATCCACCTTCATTTTTAACTTTCAGTAAGGAACTCCATGGCTGATGAATTTGTTCTGGGTAAAAGGAGAAGGGGTGCTGGGTGCAGAGAAGATGCATGACGAAAACCAGCAGACACCTGAACCGACAGAACCAGGATAAAGGAGCTGCAACCAGAGATAATAGCAAGGCATCCACGACCCTCCTCCCAGCTTGGAGAGCGCCTGCTCTGAATTAGCCACAATCAGCATGTCAATCCAGCTGCTCAGGTCCCTCCAGTCCTAGGCTACCAGACTACCCCTCCCTCAGAGAGTATTACGGGAGAGTTAGGAACACATACAACGTGCTGCATAAGCATTTTATACAGTGGTGTAGTTGGCATCATGATTATGGTCACCCACAATCATGCTCAGTAAATTGGCAAGAGAAAGCGCTGTGGAGCAGGAAGGGCCAGGGAGTGGCCTCAAGAGAGGCTGGGAAGCTTTGTGGTGCTACAGAGCTCACTCTCTAAATCAGGTGGTAAATAAACTGACTCAAGCCCACCTTTAACACACAACTGGCCTGGAAGGGCAATGGAGGATGGATGCACCCACCCATCTATCCATCCATTCAGCCGCCCTACCCATCCACTCACTTATCTACCCATGCACCCATCCATCATCCACCCACCCATCCACCCACCCCACCCATCCATTCACTCATCTACCCATGCACCCATCCATCATCCACCCATCCATCCATCCATCCATCCATCCACCCACCCCTTCATCCCATCCCATCCCATCCCATCCCATGCCCGCATCTACCCACCCAGTGAAGAGACTGGAAGGCTGTGCATCAAACCTTAACAGAGCTCCCTTCTAACGGTACGATGTTGGGCTACCTTGTCCTTCCTTCCTTTCTGGCTCGTTTGACATTTTAATAACATGACCATATTTTTTTATAAAACAAAAAAGGTAATCATTTTTATAAATTTTAAAACGTATGATATATAGATTTTACCAAACACCCCACAGGACAAACTGGAATCCTAAGCTTCAGATTTTATAACATGATTTACAGAATTCAACTCCTTTCATTCACATTGAGCCTGGTTTTGTGTAAACGTTTGTTTTTGGGGTAGATAGATGCTTCTCATCACAGATGTTCACATCACACAAAGGACTGAACTAATCCAGAAAAGTTCTAAGTGCACTTGTTAAATAGTCTAGCTCATCTCCATGGAGCTGGAAGTCCTGGGAACAGGAGCAATGGACATTAATCTGCTTTCATGGGCGACCGAGAGACTTACTTGTCCACTAGTCCCTTCTGTTTGAGGATGCGGTACACTTCGGCAGAAGTCTGAGGTCCTTGGAGCTTTTGCCCGTTCAGCATCTCCTTCTCTAATTCTTCAATGGTCTTAAAAACAAAGGATTATCAAAAAAAAAAAAATGGTAAAGACTAAAGGATCATTGACTTGTTTAACTTGTAAGTTTTTTCCTTTCTTTGTTTTGTAGAGATGGGGTCTCGCTATGTTGTGCAGGCTGGCCTTGAACTTCTGGCCTAAAGCAATTCTCCCACCTCGGCCTCCCAAAGCAGGGGCAGTACAGACACAAGCCGTGCCTGGCCTGGCATCATTTATTTCAAGAGCAGAGTGGAGAGAAGAGCCTCAATACCCTGCTGCAAGCCAAGGAAAGATAAAGACACAAAGAACAGAAGACTCAAGTGAAAGCAGCCAGGCAGACAGAACAATCCCAGCAAACAGATGCCGGCATGAATCTCTGCTGGGTTGCAGCTCACCCCAAGCCAGCAGTCTCAAGTGAGGAAGGAGGGGTGCGGGAGGGCAGGTGAGGGACTACCTTCCCAGTTCTGGCGAAGGCCTCGGCCACCCTGCGGTTCCGCCCTCCGTAGCAGGTGGTGATCAGGTCGGCCACCCCGCAGCTCTCTAGGAAGGTGGCTGTGGACACCTGGCCCTTGCAGAAGATCCTGGCGAAAGCAATCATTTCCATGAGTCCCAGGCGGATGACGGCAGCTTTGGTGTTGTCTCCGCAGCGGAGGCCGTCGCAGAAGCCAGCTCCCACAGCTACGATGTTCTGCAAAGAAGAACACAGAGCCCAGATGCTGTTACAGCACCCACTGCGGGTATGGGTGCCAGGGGCGGTGGGGGATGCCAGGGCAAGGACAGACCAGGAACACTGGCACCATCCTCAAAATGATCAATGCCGGGTTCTGCTCTTGTACACCTGGGTGAAAGAGATGACGGAAGGAGAGACGAGGCTTCCAAAGTCCCCTTTCTAGGACAAAGAGCCCATATCTGGGGTCAGTAGGGGGCAGCAGTGGAAGAGCACTGGCCAGAAAATTAGAATGGCTGATAGCAGTCTTTGGTTAAATAATATTTGGACAAACCACTTTTTGTTTTCTTTTGTTTTAAATGAAATGGTTTGTGCAACTTCAGCATTCATACAGAAAAGTACACAAATCCTAAGTGCACAGACTGAAGAATTGTTACAGACTGCACACAGCCCCGCAGCCAGCACACTGACCAAGGAAAAGAACACAGCCAGGGCTTCAGGAAGCCACCAGTCCCCACTTCCAGCCACCTCCACCACCAAAGGTAACCACTCTCCTCACTTCTCACAGCACAGATTTGTTTTACCTGCCTTTAAACTTTTTGTGAAGAGAGTCATACAATATGTAGTCTTTTATGTGTAGCTTCTTTGTCTTACTTCAACATCGTGTTTGTGAGATCCATCCATATTTTCACATCTAGCATCTTTATTTTAATTGCTGCACAGTACTCCATTTTGTGAATATGTTGCAATTAACTTGTTGAACTGTCTTCTGTCAACTGGCACTGGGGTCGTTTCCAGTTTGGGGCCATGACACACAGTGCTGCCGTGGACACCCTGGCACATGTCCTCTGGTGGCTACGTGCAGGCACTCCTGTTGGGTATGATCTGGGAGTTGAAACACTGGGTCATGAGGCCTGATTGTGTGCAGCTCAAATTCCAGCCTCTTGTTTCATTTAATAATCCCCAAATGAGTATTTATGGAGCGCTCATTCTTTGCATGGCCTCTGCTAGACACAAGGCAAATGAGACACAGAGCCTGCCTTTTCAGAAGCAGATGATCTGGTGTCGGGGCTGGCAATCGAGGCCAACTGCCTGTTTTGTAAATAACGTTTTATGGGAACCCAGCCATACCCGTTCATTTACGCATCGTCTGTAGCTGCAGATTTCAGTAGCTGCAACAGAGACCGGATGGTCCACAAGGCCTCTTCTATCTGGCTCGGATGGAAAATGTTTGCCGCCCCTGACCTTACAGGAAAGCTAAAACGTGTACAAATAACTGTAAACCTCAACAGAACATGATATTCTCTAAAAGGTACTGAGAATCTGAAATTCCATTTCAACAGGTATGCACTGAGCATGCACTGTGTAGGAAGAACCCCACTCAGCTCTGGAGGGAAACAGGGATTGCAGGGGCTAGGCTGGGAGCGGGGGAATGCAGGGGCTGAAGATGCTCCCGGGGGGGAAAGCTGTAAAGATGAGAGTCAGACACAGAGCTTGTCCTCAAGGAGCTGACAATCTGGCTGGGAAAAGAGACACAACAAAGCACATCAAAAGGCAGAGGAAAGAGAGTGTGCTGAAAAGTGGCGGAAGCCACATGCTTCCGTTCAAAGCAGGGAAGGCTACATGGAGGAGGTGACATCTGAGCTGGGCCTCAATAAGTAAAAGTCAGATTACCATCTATGACAAGTAACATAGATGGTATGTTACTTGAGTCCCGGGTTCCTGGCCCCTTGCACTTTGCTCCTTCACCAAGAACACTCAATGCTAAAAAAAAAAAAAGCAAATATGCAACTGTCTAACCACACTAGCAATTCCAGTAATACCTGGTGACTACACAGGGAGCCTTGTGAGATTTTAAAACATGAAGCTAGTTTGGGAAATGAGTTAACATGAGTGTGTTTTAATAAAACCAAGTTTTACTAGTGAAAGAATAACTTTTCTTAAAACATCAGGCCTATAAAATGTTGAGGGATCAGGTGAAAAATAGAAAAAGCTGGGGAATAAAAACGCCTTCTCTAGTATGCAGGCAGTTTTTGATAAAACACATGAAACATAGCATTGATATGGCTGGGCTCACCAGGACAAACAGACGTGGTCATTTAGATACAGCTACTTCTCACCAGGAGACCGAGGCACAAAGCTATTTCACAGGAAGAAACATCTGACTGGGCCTCCTGAAGTTTCCATCTACTCCCTACAGACCCACAGAACAGAGCCCTCCCCTGCCCTCTCCCACGAGGTGACGCGGAATGAAGAGGGCTAGCGAATGAAGGATGGGGATGGGAAGGGCCTCCCGTGTCTTCTCTTCCTCAGCAGTAATGGGAGAGCTTATTGGGGTTGCTGCTTATGCCTCTCATTGCAGTCGACACAGAAAGGAAAAAGTCGAAAATTTCTCTAAAAAGGATGCAGGCAGCGCTGACGAGGAACTGGGTCCTAGGAGCTGACAGGCTGACCACATGCATGTCTTCATAAGGTACCAACTTGCCTGTACCTGCGAAAGTTCCTCAGCCTCTTCCTACCACAGGCTATGTGAACTTAGGTTTCATTAGTTCTCAGACAGCAACCACCTCAAACTTCCACACACAGGGACGGTGGAAGGGGGCAATTCCTGGCTTACACACCCTCAGCATCAGGCAGCATTAGGGAAGAGGCAAGGGAGAGGCCTTGTGAAAGCAGCCTGGAGAGACGCTGGGGGTCGGTGGGATCTGGTTCTGCGGCTTTGCTCCTAGGTGGGGTGAGCTGCCAAGTCAGGATGGGACACCCAGGCCTTTTAGGGTGAGTGCTATGCAGAGGCTAAGAGCAGGGACCATAAGAACACCCAGACTGGGCCCACCTAGGCCTGGATCCCCTTCCCAGCATAGCAGCCAGACTAAGGAGGCTACAGGGAGACAGAAGCGGTACACGGCACTGACATCGGAAAGCCTCTGCAACATACAGTGTGGCCTGGGGCCATCACTCCACCTCTCGGGCCACCTTCACCTCCGACATAAAATCCAGGGCTTGTACAGGAGTTTTCAAGGCCCTTCTGGGACTGACATTCTTTCAGGGAAGCTGGTGCAACTGGGGCCTGCACTGGGCAACAGGTTGATGCCTGGGGACATGCAGGGGGACTGGCTGCCGAAGCCTAGAGGCCAGCCCTTGGCTGAGCTGGCCAAATGGTTTTATTGAAGTTGCTATGCGATGTGGTGAGGCTTAGGCTGTGGGCCAACTGGTCAGCTTCCTGAAATTGCTCTCTGATGCCCCCTAGACTGTGTCCCCATGCTCCCCTCCATCACAACATGAACCATTCTGAAACTGTTATATGAAAAACCAACCCCAGGAAATGTCTATGGGCTGAGTGGGAGAGAACATGGACTTCTGTTCAACAAGGGACTCCTGTAAACAGAGGAGGGGAGGCATTTACTTATGACGTGCCTTCGGCCGGCCCAGGCTAGTTACACACACTGCCTCATCGTCATTCCCACGACTCTGAAGCATGTACCTATCCTCCCAACTGGCACAACTGAGGCTCAGGGAGGTTTAGTGGCTTGCAAAGACACCTCACCGGTAAGCGATGGAGTCAGGGTGCACACTCCTGGTGCCTGGCTCTGCAGCCCACTCTGACCCTGTGACTTGCTGCTCCAGTGGGAAATTTGCCCTTCCTCCATCCTCAGTCAAAAAGGCCTGCCTGACCCTTTGCCATTGGATGTTAAAGGAGAGTGCCTTCCTGGCCTATACCAAGGCTTAGGAGGTAAAAGGGGTCGCTGAGGCTGGGTGTAACCCCAGCACTTTGGGAGGCTGGGGCGGGTGGATTGCTGGAGCTCAGGAGTTCAGTTGAGACCAGTGTGGGCAACATAGTGAAACCCTGTTTCTACCAAAAATACACAAAATTAGCCAGGCGTGGTGGCATGGCACCTTTCGTCCCAGCTACTGGGGAGGCTGAGGTGGAAGGATTTCTTGACCCCAGGAGGCAGATGTTGCAGTAAGCTGAGATCACGCCACTGTACTCTAGCCTGGTAAGAGTGAACCTGTCTCAAAAAAAAAAAAAAAAAAAAAAAAGCTAGCTTCAGAGACAAAAAGTAATACAAAATAGTAATAGCTAACGTCATCGAACTGCTCTAAGAGCTTCATATATTATTGCCTCATTTAAACCTCACAACATTGCCACAAGGCAGATCCTATAATCATGGGAGCATGAAAGGAAACTGAGGCACACAGAGTAAGGTGCTTGCTCGAGGAGATGACGCCACACTTTGCTGCTCTAGGGCCAGTGAATGAAAGGCACAGAGAGGCCATGGCAGAGTCCAGAATGATAACTTTCTTTTTTTTTTTTTTTTTTGAGACGGAGTTTTCACTCATGTTACCCAGGCTGGAGTGCAATGGCGCGATCTCAGCTCACCTCAACCTCCGCCTCCTGGGTTCAGGCAATTCTCCTGCCTCAGCCTCCTGAGTAGCTGGGATTACAGGCACGCACCACCATGCCCAGCTAATGTTTTTTTGTATTTTTAGTAGAGACGGGGTTTCACCATGTTGACCAGGATGGTCTCGATCTCTTGACCTCGTGATCCACCCGCCTCGGCCTCCCAAAGTGCTGGGATTACAGGCTTGAGCCACCGCAGATGATAACTTTCTAACAGGAAGAGCTGACCCCACCCAACAGGAAAGATTTAGCAGGAGCTTTCTGCCACCAAAACCATCCAAGCAGGACTGTATGGACAGGCCCTGGGCTCCAAAGCAGTGCTTGCATGTTGCTGTACTCAGAAAAGTCAGATGAGGAACCAGGGCGAGCAGATGAGGAGCTACCTCGCAGCTCCTCTGTGGCCCCTTCACTGCAGGACACACGGGTTGAGACAACCTCAAAGCTTCTACTAGACATTTAACCTCCCCACCGGGGCAGGGGGTAGGCGGAAGACCTACTGCAGGGTCAACTCCTCTTTTCTAAGAGGACCCTGGGCTGCAACCCAGTTTAATCGCTTTATGACGAATCTCAAAATCCTCATTCTCTCCCTCCACCACTTATCACTGTCAAAAGAAAAATAACC